CTACCTAGCTAAAAAATAAGTCTTGCATGTTACGCATGCCTATGTTTTCAGATAGTGGTTGCTTGATTGATAAAACTCAGTAAGTAATATGTGCATCTATTTTGGACAAATTTATGGCTCCTTTCTGTCACCGGTTGGAATAAATCCAGGTTTTATAGCAGCCTACAAGGGACACCGCACTATGCAGAAGCAAATAATTAGTTTTGTAGGTAATTTATTTATTTGCTCACATTTGATGAACCCATCGTCAATAATTCATCACTAGTTCATTTAAATTAAGAAAAGTTACAATGAGGTTCAGTTCTAAGATTCCCAATAATATTTCATATGCCTAGGAGATTAACTTAGGGTTACTGTCACCAAAATCTGGTCAAAATTTTCAAAAATGTCGTTTATTTGCTCTTGAATCAGAAAAATCATTAAGTTTAATTGGTGGAAAGAAAAAATATAGAATAGAATAGAATAGAATGCGAGATTCGGTTAAAAGAGTTTTTTAGGGTAGTTAATACTAAAGAATGAAAGGTGTAATAAAGTTTCCAGCAGAGTGTTGACATTCCTGGCGGACCTGCTGCATTGCACAAAAGAAGAGAATCTGTCACATTCCCCAAAACATTGAGAAGTAAGAGTCTCCATGAAATGGTCATAAAGAGAAGTCACTTTGCGCCAATTCCAATAGAAAGCCTGGCCCAAAGAAATCGAAGACAGATGATTTTGACGAAGCGAAAATGTTTGACCTTCTCTTTGCTTCTCTTGGAGAGTTTTTGGACTTCGTTTAACCCATTTGACCCATTCGTTTCCGTCGCAAGGTGACCTTTCCCTCGAAATTCCATGGATCTCTTTGCCAGCAGTTTGGCCAAGGAGCTTGATATTGTCTCTAATTGGTTGGTGCCATTACCGCATCGACACACACTTAAATGAGGTGCGAAAACTGAATTTTTTTAGAGGTTGAAAACTATAGGTTTGTTTTTAGGCAAGTTTGCCCCTATTTAAGCAAATTAATAATGTAGGTAGTTTTTTCGGATTTTGATGAAACTTGGCCAGAATATTCTTCAGTTATTAATGCATAAGATGGTGCGATGCTTTAATGAAATTTGAAATATTTTTCTTGTGTCATTTCCCGAACTTGATGACAACAACTTAGTTATTTCCTGGGGAGCTGAGGGAAAGCTTAGTGTCAAGGTACCGTGAGGGATGACGGGAATAAGAAGAGAAAAAAGAAATCAAGGGTCACTCGGTAAAAATGGTGCACCTGGAATGATGGGAATGAAAGAAGATAAAGATCATGAAGGGTCACATGGCAGCAGTGGACCGCCAGGAATCAAGGGTGTGAAAAGAGAGTAGGGATCTAAAGGAGAGAAAGGAGAAATCGTGAATAGTGCAGTGTCACAGGCCAACTGGAAACAGTGTGTGTGGAAAAGGATGATAGTAGAGATAGTGGAAAGATCAAAGAAAGGGAATATCAACAAAATCTCCAATTTATTCCCTATATCACCATTATACGAAATTTCTCTGCTTTTATGGACAGGTGTTTTCTTGTTGTTTTCTTGTGGTTGTTGTTCCAACCAATCTGTATTTATTTTTTCTCTCCAGAAATCCACTTTTGCTCACGGATTTTCTAGGATTCCTGGATTGAATGGCATACCAGGAATGCCGGGAATTCCTGACGCCCCAGGACCGCAAGGGCAATAAGGAAAAGATGGAGCTAAGCAGGAGCCTGGTGTCAAGGGACCGTAGTGACCGTAGTGCACCTGGAATGACAGGATTAAAAGGAGATAAATCTAATGTAGGTTGTTAACCTGGCAGACGCTTTTGAAACTCTTTACACTGGCCAATTTACGTTATCAGTTCAGCTGATAAAACCAAATAATCCTGTAATACCCCTAACCGACGTAGTACCACAATTACAAACTGATTACCCTCTTTGAATATCTAAGGGCTTGGCCACCTTTCATGGCTGCATTTTCTAATAAAAAAAAATGTTATCTGTGATAGCTGAAAAAGGGTCAAGCTAACGAATGCTATCACCTATGTCCTAAATCAAACACGTTATTACGCCAGTTTAATTTGATGCTCAGTTGGAAAAGTATTTGAACATACAGGGGAAATGGTTTAAGCAAACTGGGTGGAAGGCACCATGAATCTTGGATTCCAAGATCTTCTTATCTTATGTAACATATCTTGCTGCTACAACTCTAGCCATGGCTAACTCTTACTAACTTCTATCAAAAAAATATGCAAAGATATTTTCACGTGGTGGTGTTTTCTTAACCTTGAAGTTGACACCATACCTGTGCTCTATGTGAGATAGCGGCACATAAGACTGTGTAATAATCTGAAGCATTGAAGGCGGCTTACATTCTAGAGATAAACTCCGTTCTCTGAAAAAACAGATGTGGCCCTAAGGCTGATAAGAAACCTTTAAGTCTTGTAGAAAAATAAAACACCCAAAATAGTGGTAATTATAGAAACATCACTTCCGAGAACATACGAAAAAGAGACACAAAAATATCGTTGTTATGAAATAGGTTGTTGTTCATCGTGGTAGTTGGATGATGTTATAAGTTTGTTCTGTTGTCTCACGACAAAGTCACTTGATGTGGAACGCGACGTTTCGACTGCTTACTACAAGTCTTCTTCAGGGGAAAGGGTCGACTGGTTGTGGCACGGCATTCCTGTGCATTCTAGCAGGCAGGAAAAGTTCAAGGTCATCATCAAATTATTTCCTGTAACACTCTTATCAAACATTCTTTTGCGCTAAGACCGTCTTCTCGGCATTTTCTGTAGGACTGCTCACTCAACAAGCTGCGGTCTGATACAGCTATTGAAGTCTCATTCCAGCGAGATAACGGCACATAAGACTGTGTGAAAAATAATCTGAAGCATTAAAGGCTTATATACGAGAGATAAATTCCGTTATCCGATAACAGTAACAGATGTGACCCTAACGCTGATAAAAAAAACCTTTAAGTCTTGTTGAAAATATCGTTCTTAATTTTAACCACACAACACGAGTCTGCAACTTGTACCATTAATACACAAAAGCAGATTTTGGAGAAGAAAATATATCTCACCGCCTCAATGTAAGCATGAATACAGTAAGCGACCATAGAACAAATAAACATGATATCAGGCGCTTCAGAGTCCACAGAAACACTCTCATGAACATCTAAGGGCTTGACCGCTTTTATCCTGCCGCAGTTTGTTAATTACAACACTGTTATCTGTGATATTTAATAGCGGGTCAAACTAACCAATGCTATCATGGGTGCCAGTAGGGGCCATTTTTTGCCAGGGGGGGGGGAGGGAAAGGAGTTAACCACTTGCCCAAAAAAGCACTTGCAAGTTCCCCAAATTTTTATGAAACAGTCGAAGAGGAACAGGGGCCATGCGATAAACTAACATAGGCCTACATACGAAATGAATATATTCTCTCCTATGAATCTATCATATGAGCCCATAAAACACGTTAAAAGAAATATATAGTTGTCTCTGCCATTTCGGCGACCGAAGATATCAATGATACGATCTATTGGCTACAGAGTTGGCATATGCCCTTTCAAAGTTAATTCCGATGCCGTTACGGATACTTTGTTGCTCCATGGTGCTGCAGAAGTAAGTTTTAATCTGCGCAATGCACTGAATGATCGTTCTGTTGAACACGATGTAGCGGGTGTCACTGCAACGATATATATGTACTACTTTATGCGGAAAAATGTGGAAACGTATTAAATAGAACATTGTCCTGTATCGCCATTAGCAATTCGGAAACAGTCGTGTGGCCTAATCTGCGCACACGACGAAAGATCGCGTACCTTTTCTGCTCGTTTTCCATTCCTATTTTTACTAAAACCTGACCTCAAGCTCGGACAGCACCTTGCCCATGGACGCATGGTAAGTGTTAATAGAGTGGTGCGATTCCGCGTTTGTCTCTGCACGTGATCACCTACAAGGTCTTGAAGGCTGCGCGATGGCATTTGTCTGAGTGCCCTGGCTTCTTGTAATTCAAACTGAGAATTGTTTAACCACTTATTAATTTTACGACCCATTGCTGACACTATCTGCCAAACGCTGTTAGAACCTTCTTCACTACGACACTGGCATTTCTACAAGTGGGAATGACGTCGACCGTCTTACCCTGAAGATATCAGCACAGACAATGAGTGTTGCTCAGAATTGCTCTCAACACACAGTCCGGAGATGGATTTAATTGTCTTTTCCACGCCGACTTAAGCTTAAAATAAAAAGTAACTCTTTCAAAGAAAAAAAAGACGAAACGAAACATGGAAACTTTAGTAAAAATTTGGTCTGCCCAAATTTCTCTTGCTGCCCAAAAAATCTGAGTTGCCCAAAATTTGAGGGGGCGGGGGTAGGGGGGTGTTGCAGCCCCCCAGCCCCAACGGCACGTACGCCTATGGGTGCTATCACCTGTTTTTTCAATTAAACTCATTATAGTTTCAGTTCAATTTCTTATCAGTGAGACGGGTCTGCAATTTGTACCATTATTAAAAAAAATCAAGATTTTGAACACGAAAATCTAACACACCACATCATAACAAGTTCAAATCAAACATGCGGCGCTTAAGAAGGTTTATACTATTTTAGAATGGATCTAATAACATGAATACTGAAATAGAGCTAAGGACAAATGAACATCATATCACAGACCATATCGAACTTTTTTCCTTCTTAATATGTCACGTTTGATCAGAAAGATTTTGTGACCCAGATTTTTGTGCGTAATTTCTCTGAATCTGTGTGAAACATTGGTCTGTTGGTCAGTACGTGCTTCACTAGTGAACTGATAAGGATGTCACAGTCAAGTTGTTTACCCGGTGTGTAGGTTCGAGTAGTTTCAGACATCCTTATCATTTAGCTCCAGGCTTCTTAACAAAAGATTGTTATTTTAACATAACTGACCGTTTCCATTTAATAAAATTCATTAGAATATAAATAGGCGTGTACGTAAGGAGATATATATTTCAGTCATAGATCACGAACTAATGGCGCAAAGTAACCATCGAAGTATGGCGAAGCTTCTGATTCTCGCTGCTTTGTTATTTTTCTCATCCAAAACAGGAGTAAGTTCCGTGGGAACAACCACCAGTCCTCAACAACAGAATCCACTTACTGGCGCTGACAAAGACCCATGTGAGGTACTCTTAAGCATGCTTTATCCACAATTATTTACGACAAAATCGCATGTACTTCATGACGTGTTCATTTGTCATACCTCAGTTTACCATTCATGTCTGCCAAGCTAAGCGCAAAACAAATCCCTCATCGATTATAAGTTTTCAATGAGAAAGTAGAACATTGCTGCAAAAAAATTTCTTTAAGGGATATCTCTACAATGTTATAAGGTCATTCAATGTTCCAAGCTGTTTCTCCTAAAACGACGCTAAATTCTCCACGTGATTAATTTCTGAAGAAACTGCTATGCTACTTCGGCGGACAAGTAAATATCAATGAATATCAAGTACGTTCATCATATTACAATTTGTTCTTTTTACTTTCTCAGAAATCCGTTTTTGCTCCCGGATTTTCTGGGATTCCAGGGTCGAATGGCATACCAGGAATGCCGGGAATTCCTGGCGCCCCAGGGCCGCAAGGCCAGCAAGGAAAAGATGGAGCTAAGGGGGAGCCTGGTGTCAAGGGACCGAGAGATATGACGGGAACAAGAGGACAAAAGGGTAATCCAGGGTCACTTGGTAAAAATGGTGCACCTGGAATGATTGGAACGAAAGGAGATAAAGGTCATGAAGGGTCATGTGGCAGCAGTGGACCGCCAGGAATCAAGGGTGTGAAAGGAGAGCAGGGATCTAAAGGAGAGAAAGGAGAAATCGTGAATAGTGCAGTGTCACAGACCAACTGGAAACAGTGTGTGTGGAAAAATGATTATAGTGGAGATAGTGGAAAGATTAAGGTACAGAAATATCTAGAAAATGCGATGAAAAATAAATAAAGCGTTAGAGCCAATTTGTCATAGCCATCTCTGAAAGAGACCTTAGAGAAATGCTATCAAACTGAAAATAGCAAGTAACAAATCTGTGCATTCAAGTAGGCAGGAAAAGCACAAGGTCCTCATCAAATTATCTCGCAAAGACTTTCTTCTTGGAATTTTTTATAGGATTGCTCATTCAACAAGCTGAAATCTCATACAGCTATTAAAGTCTCATTCCAAGGAAATATGGCAGTGAGAGGCACTTCAGGTAAATGTAACCGGTGGTTCTTCAAGTTTAATGGAAATGAATGCAGTGGACCAATGACAATTGAGGCTGTTGTGTTCAACCACTGGCCATCTGGTAGTCCTAATCTGCTTCATCACAGGTCATTAGAGGGATACTGTGAAAACATTCTACACGGCAGGGTTACTGTGGAGTTATGGGTAGGACAGTGTCCCAGTGGTCATACAGTGGGTGATGCTTACACCAGATATCAATCAATATCCCGGATAATGATAGAGGAAGTGTCTAGAGCCCAGTCCTGATTAGCCCCGTCATCTTCACCTGAGGGCAAGAGTAGAATATTCGCTTTCTCATTCATCCATCATTTTAGATTTCATAATATTCTCATATTTTTCATACCACCCAAAAATTGAAGTCACTCTTTGTCACAAGTACTTTTTTGCCCCAATAATGTTCGATGTTACGAGGCTTCCTTTCTTCCAATATAAACCTTCTGTTTCTTTTTAATTATGTGTACTTTTATTTGTACTTTTTATTTTATGTCTCTTCCTGAATTTTTTTCCTGAATTATTTTAAGTTTGTCTCTGCATTACAATAAAACTGTTTGACATGTGTTGGTCAACAAAATGATAGTTTCTTTAATCATTAGTCATACAGCTGTGTGTGCTTCTTTGCATTTTTGGTTACATTACAAACCAGATATGATCTTTCACTTTTTTCCATTATTTCTATCATCTCAGAAATGAAGACAAGAGATTTGTTGCGTGATCACAAATTGAAGGGAAAATGTTCATCATGGAATTTCACTACTGATTCAATATTTTTCAATTAGATTTTATATACTAGTCTCCTTTTATGGAAATATATTTTCTCCATCCTGTTTGTCCTGGAAAGTTCTTTGGATTTGGTGGTACATCTGGAATTTCCTTAAAATAAAAAGTATACTAAATTAAAAATGTTAGAGGGTCCTTGAGCACAGATGGCCTAAGCTCATAACGAGAGTATCTATCATTTTTCTTTTAGTCAAAAGATGACATGTAAATGGCAGTTTCAAGCAAAACATTACCCTTGCCTTGCAAAAGAAGTCTGTTGTTATGATTACAAAGTTTGAATATGAAAGAAAGTAAAAAATTTTAGTGAGCAAAGTAACGAATTGTTGTAGATGTTAAGAACTCATGACTATACATAGAATCCCTAAATGTTTAAACACTTTGTATTGTCCTTTACTTGATCTCACTGAATCCAATTGGGTAGTTTAATAAAACATTTTATTCCTGTATAATCCTTCCCCATTCCCAGTCCTTAAACACTTTTTATAAAATAGGGCAGAAGAGAATTCAGTTGGAAGCTGATTGTATACTTCAAGAATGACAACTTGGAACAGGTCAGCTTTTGACAGAATCAAAACTTTTTCATAACAATTTTACCCCCTTTTGATCAGGGTTTTCATGCCTGCGAGTAGAAAATTTCTGCTAACAAAGAGCTTCACCTAAAAATGGCAGCTCTAAACACATGTTGGAAACATTGTGCCCTTACCAAATACAATATGCACTAAAAACGTTTACCAGATAAGGGTAAATTTTACCCGAATGGACCAATCAGAGCACTTTGTTCCCATAGGTTTCACACCGGGTAAAGTTTACCCGACTGGAGTAAACTTTACAACTAGCAATTTGCGAAACAGAGCACTTGTGTGGGCTGTAACAGCGCAGGATAATTACATTCTTTCAATCGAATTTCGCGATTTAAAGGTGAAATAAGGTGCAAAACCCATCAGAAAAAAAAAATCCGTATCGCTCACAGACAGTGACGTCCAAACTTTCCTAGAAGAGGAAGAAAACCAATATACAAAAAAAAATAAAAAGCTGCGAATTCAGTGACTTTAGTAATGACATTTCTCGCTATTTCATTCGCGCAATTTTTCATTCTCACAATTTCATCAATCAAGTCGATTTTCTGGTCGGTAAAGGGCTATTGTGTTTATATGATAAACAAAATAATACGTGGTTACTTGAAAATACGGAGTTCTCTTCTCGTTTTCAACTCCAAGAGCAATTTCATATCTACTCACGCCCATGTATTATTCTCTATTTATGGTATTAAATTGGAAACGATTCAGGATGCATGAGTACCGTAATCGACCAAGGAATAATGAATCTTGGGATGTCGAAGGTAGGGAGAAACTAACTCAAGGAAACTCACGTTTCTAGTCCTCTCCAAACTTTCCGCATGTATCCATAGCATATTTGGATATACACACGCTAAGCATGAAGAACAAGATACGTCCTGCACTGCAACTGAAGGAGACGCGAGTTCGTGAGCGACCTTCTTTAGATGCAAAGTCATAAACACGGCCATGCTGGGTGTCTTCTAATGACCTTCATGGATGATCCTGTATGATCAGAACTTCTGAGAAGGCAACTAAGATTTGGTCTGAGAAATTCATCAATAAGGAAACAAAGGAAAGGAAATAAAGCAGTTTTTGATAACACCGTACCATATTACAACTATATATATTCCGAAATCACTGGTAATTTTTGCAATCTGATTGGCCCTCAGCAGTGCGATTCACTATTTGTACTAATTTTTGGCTCTAAAAGACATCATTTTTCAGCCAACGGCAAATAATCTAAAAACAAAGCGATCAAATAAGTTTTCAAGCCTTTTCTTGGAAAAAAAAATCCAAAAATACGAGGTCAGTGGGTTGTGCTATGACGTTACTTTCTCAAATATTAAAAATCGAATTCGATGTAGAGGAAAAGAAAAACATACATGTACACAGTTATCATAAGTAATCTTTTTACTATAAGAATATTTAAGCGATACTCGCTTCTAGAGTTTAAAGAATAGCAACAGATCTATGGATCAGCCAAAAACAGCGTGGATCAGTGGAAGTCCGTCGTACTGTTAACCCTCGCCAGAGAGAGTCAAAACAAAATACTCAATCTTTCACGTGACTGTCCCGACGTAACGACTTTATATCGCTCAATAATAATATTAATGACACAATAGAAGGATACATGTGTTGATGAATACAAATCTGTGATATTCATGTGCGTTACTTGTAACCGCCCCAAACCTTTACTTTTTGAAAGATAGATTTTGACATTGAAGCGGAGAGTCATTATGCTCATTTTAGAACTGAGGGTTAACCATGAAATACATTTAATCCCAGCAACTGCGTCAGCCAAATTTCTTAATATGAATCTGTTAAATTCATCGTTTTTGAAAAAATGTTCTATATAATTCAAGCCGTGAAATTCCTCTCAGTGCCAGAAAATATTCAGAAAGCAATCGCTCCAAATAGTGATATTAATAACGGGTCGGGTCAATTTAACAAATGATATTAAGAATTTCCTCCATTAAACATAACACTGTTTCAAGATAACTTAGTTTTAATCATCAACTAAGTTGATAATGTAATTTGAAAGCCGACGTTCCGAGCGTTAGTGCTCAGTCGTCACATTATCGCTGTATTTCAGTTCATTCAGAAACTCAGTAAGACGCGTCTGCAATTTGCACCCCCTCAGAGTCGGGATCTAAAAAACAGTGTTTAGAACGTTTAATGAAAAAACTAACATTCCAATTCGACCTGGAAACAGTAGACAAGAAGTGCCATCTATTGGAATGTCCTGTGCTGAATTTCCATTTTTGTTGCTGTTGCTTTTTGTGTTTGTTTGTTTTAGAATCGATGCAGAATACCTGATCACCGTCCAAAGGCCAAACGAAGATCAAGTCACTGACCATATCATACATCTCTTCCTCCTTAATATGTCACGTTTGATTAGAGAAGGGATGCTACGTGGCCTGGATTT